ACTATACCAATGTCGTAGAATGCCAAAATCAAACGAAAAAAGACGAAATTGTAAAGAAATGAACTTGAAGACTAGATTATCCGCCAAACCATATTCTGTGCCATTTGCTCAACCCTCATGACCACGTAGATTTCATAATGAAAATAACTTTTTTTTTTGCAAAACTTTTTTTTTAATTCGCACGCGCGCATCAGTTTTGGGGCTCCCGGAGGATGTCATCCATATAATTAAATCAACATGGCCTAATGGAATCTTCTCCAAAGCCTTTTGGTGTTGGAACATGTAACACTGGTCAGTTCAAATTGGGAAAAACAGAAGCAATTGGGAAACTTCAGAACTATCAAATTTTTGCCCATAAGTGTGGTATCATCTGAAAGCTCTTTTCATCATGAAAGTAGTCATGTGAAAATGATTAGCTAGTGATGTTCATAGGCTTAGATATGATTGATTGAAAATGCATTAGACCACTGGTCTGTGGTAAGATCATGTATGGGCTATTATTTAGGCCAGGTGGGCTGTATAAACAACAAGGTGTTGATTGGCCCAGACCATTGTGGTCTTGGCCCTGGCCAGACTGGACTTCACACCTCTAATCACCTTGCCCATTGAACCCAGCGCAGGCCAGTGGTCTGGCAAGTAAGGTGTGATAACTCATTATGCGAGTGCTTTGTACAATGTGGAATGGCCAATTATAACTCAATGACATTTGCATTGGAGTGGGCTACTGCTAGGCCACTGTGTTCTATGCATAACCAAGTGTGGTCTGTGTGTTGTTCACATGGTCCAGCCAATAGACCACTGGTTTGGGCAACTTTCAAAACGGAATATCTTCATAATGTTACACATTGTGACCAAATTACAGACATCATGATGCAAGGGAAATCATGCTCTTTCCAATGACATGTAAAAGTGAACTGTATCTTCAGTAGAAAAAAAGTTAGAAAATTGGATGACCAAGATGGCCCCCAGGAAATCGGGAAACTGAACTTCCCAATTTAAACTGACCAGTGTTATGTAGATTGACAGGATCGATACCACCCTGTAGCTGCTTGAAGGCCAAGCCACTGTGTATCCGAAGATTACCTACCCATGCAACCATATGAATTTGCTTTGAGATTGCAAATGTCATCAGGTCATTTGGTCCCCAAAGTTGAATCCGTTGAATTCAATTCGAATGGAGCGGCCGACAGCTTAAATATGCATGACGTCATTTTATAACGTCAGTGTTGGTCTTACTAGTTTTGTCCAGTATACAATAGGATAGGACAGGATAGCCTTGTCCAATAAAAAATGCCTCCCCTTTCAAGATTGTTCATTATTTTTTGCAGACAGGTTACCATTGGGAAGACCAATGTTAAGTGCAAAAAAGGGACTCGTGGGGGGTCCCTACGTCACTGCAGTGAATATTTTGTGTGTCGCTTGTTTGCAGGATAACTCGAGTATATCTAAATAAAGGTTCACGATTTTTGACAGGTAAAATACCATTGTAGCGGCCAAGGTCAAGTTCGAAAACGGGCATCGTGGGGGGTCCCTACGTTGCTGCAGTGGGCCTTTTGTATTAGATATATAACGATCTTCTCCCACCAACCTCTGCTTTGATTCAGCTGGGGGACAGCTCCCCCCCCCCCACCTGGGATCAGTTGCTTACATTTATATAATATTGAGGGGCTTTTCTATAACTACTGTGGAAGAAGGAAAGGTTGCGTCAGGTCATTCCCGGATCCCTTAGGCCAGACCAAGTAATTTTTATGGATGACGTCGACTTCTACTGGAGACTGGGAAGGATTTAGACTCCTGTCACCAGATATATAAATTTGTTTGAGTAAGAATTAACAGACCAGACCATATGCGAAGGTACACATTATGCATTTGCTTTGCAAATGTTACCTTTCTAGTCTTCAATAATTTCATGTCTTAATTAGATCATAGATCCCCAATTTTTTTTTTGCCCTGTTAAGCATAATATTTATGGGACATTTTGAATAAATCCTATAGTAAGGCCATTATTAAATTTTGTACATTGAATAAATTTCACAACTACATAATTTGAAACAATATACTGTTGTATATTTTTTACCTCCATGATCCAATGCAATGCCACATGTAAAGAAAAAAGGACAATTATATGGACCCGGCACTGTGACACGACTTGTACATGTACTGTGGTCATATACATTGTATTAAAATACAATACATATGTGTGTACTAGTAATTTATCCCAATCTAAAAGACGAAAGTAAACTTGCTTACTGAAAGCAAGGGGGTTAAAAATCAAACCTCCTTACTGAGTGCTGGGATTTGTACTACAATGTGGTAAGAACGACAAATCATGAACACACATTACAGCAGGTTCATTGACAACATATCTTTACTTTTCTGTTTAAAGTACAATCATCATGATCATTGGATGTAAAAACAGAATACATACGTCATGTATGTTCCATTATTAAAGCCTTCTGTAGAGAAAAGCACTGTACCTACATGTACATGTATAACTGGTAATGCGCTGCCTCCTAAAGACTTGGGGCCAAAGAAAAGTAATTGAAGACTACAGTCTGCTGCCAATATGGTTCTTAGAAATCATCCATCCATTGCAAGGCCTGTAGTTTTGTACATCATCAAGAAGCTACATGTCCAACCTGTTATGTCAGGCACTAACACTTCAGAGAAGTTACACTTCAAGCTTACATTGTACATTTTCTAAAAAAAAATCTAAATATCTGTGACTGTTCCTTACGTTTTAGAGAGTTTTGGTAATTGTTACAATCATATCTTTTGAGAGTTTGAAAAGCAAATATTAAAATGGAACGAAAGAGAGACTGGATCTGTTCCTATGCCATAATGATGGTGTCATCCAGGTCTTCCTCCTTAGGTTCAGGTTGAGAGGCTGCCTTCTTCAGAGCCCTTTTATGGCACTCGTTCAGGTTTTCTGCTGCTGCAGCATCCAGAGTTTTCAGGCAAGCCTGGGGGAGATGCAAGAAACAAATTATAAAAAGTGCTTTAAAATTTACTACAGTAACTTCGCTTTTTCATTATGTAAGCTCCAAACAGATTTTCAGAGGAAATTTTTAACATCTGCAAAGTGATCTGTCAACCTTTTACATTATCTATTTTTTAATAACATGTAATCTCATATTATCATTGTTTCATGTAGGACCTAAACCATAACCCCTACTGCAGTACCATAAGAAACCACTAGGTAACCGAAAATCATTTTGCCGTTTCATCAAGAGCTACCTATACTGAATATGAAGACAATCTATGTAGGATTTCTTGAGTTATGCTCAAACACACACTCAGACAAAATATAAATTCGAGGCTGGGGATTCATTCCTCAAGCGCGCACGTGCGCACACACACACACACACACACACACACACACACACACACACACACACACACACACACACACACACACACACACACACACACACACACACACACACACACACACACACACACACACACACACACACACACACACACACACACACACACACACACACACACACACACACACACACACACACACACACACACACACACACACACACACACACACACACACACACACACACACACACACACACACTCACACACACACACTCTCACACACACACACACTCACACACACACACTCACACACACACACACACACGCAGACAAAATATAGACAGACACACTCAAAATCATAAATTTTCTTTGGTATTGAAAGGTAATGACTTGTTAAGACCAGGATGCTGAATGAACAGTCAGTACTAACCTGCATGCCGTCCTCTCCCTTCCTGAGCTGTAACAGTGACACCAGTGCCAGTTCACTACTGGCCTGCACAGCTGTGTTCTTCTCCTTAGTGTTACTGACCAGGGCAGGGACCAGGGCACGGCACACGCTCAGCGGGAGAGGGTTGCTGGACTTCTTCACCACATGGTTCACTCCCTGGGCTGCCACCATTTTGATGTCATTAGATGAATGGTTCAGAGCCTGGAACACAGGAAAGTAAACTCATGGTCAGAATCTGTATTCAGATTCATTTCAAGAAAAGGAGATGTGCATAAATCAAGACAAGCAAATTTTTGAAGTTTGTGTTAATCTGGTAAGACAATACAAAATCTGTGGTGACAGGAACTCAGAATACTTATTTTGATGTATCAAATGTACTTCATGACAATCCAAGTAGAAGAATGAAGTAGATGGTAAGTTTCAGGGTCATAGCTAAACATAATAGTCAAATACAGTCAAACTTGCCTAGACATACATTGTCAATCGCTTTTTCTTTCTTCCAATGTTTTCCCCCATACTCACAAGCATTAAGGGACTTGTCTATAGGCTGACTACAAGTCTTGTTCAACATGGCTGCTTTTTCTCGGTCCAGACTTTCTTCCAATAGACATAAGTATCAAAACTTGTCTAAGTCAACTGCTTGTCCACAAAGCGAACACGACCAACACTATTGGGGACTGCACATGACGCAATCTCTGCCTAGTATGAGTATAGTATGACGACAATTTGAAAAAAAATGATATCTAGCGGGAATTGGCCAGTTTGTCATTGATTTTGACAGTCTTTGTTGTTAGTTGTTCATCAGGCTGATATGTGACAAAAGAGATTCAAAGTTCAACATGTAATGTCCCACTTTACTTAAGTGTAATGTCCCACTTTACATACGTACAGTCATGTATGCACTGAAAATATGTTATAGACAGTCACAGGCACACATGATTGTGGACCAGTTTGCTGTGTTTCCATGCACTGTTTCCCTACCTTAATAGCTGTAGTGAGCAGAGGTTTGGGGATGTCAGCAGTACTGGAGACAACATGAGTCAGGAGGAAGCCCAGAGCACGCACTCCACTGCTACAGATGGGGATCTGGGAGGGACGGCACAGGATTATTCAAACTGGACAATGTCATGATGGTTGTATTATGAGAAAGGACTCAAGCACCCAGGGGCTGGTCTTTGCTGGAAAAGTCAGTTCAAATTTGCCTGAGCCCTTGAGTGAGAGACAGAAATACCTGGAGCAGAACCATCCGCACCAATGCAATAATACATTCTGGGAGGATATTACTTATATAAGGTCTAAGGTAAGTCTTGAGTGAGAACAAAGTGGGGATTTTACTGCTCAGTATTGAGTGTTTAGATTTGCTGCAACCAGATGTACATGTAGGTCCTTTTTTCTGACAATGTTGATGTGAATGTGTTGAAAAAATTAGTAAAAATTCATCTGCCTTAACTATTATTTACATTGTTTCTAGTCTGGATTCCCAGAACTCACTGGAAATGATACACTTACTAAATCCATTTACAATATCAGGATGGATTTACACATAACAAAGCAATGTACTGTGGAACACTGTGTCCTGTGGTGCCCTGGTTAACCAAGCATAACATTCAATAAAAGACTATCAGTTTGACTGTTTACTGGCCTAGAGATCTACAGAATGGTAGTCCCCCGTCACACATTCAAAACAAATTTTGAGTTGACTTTGAATTGAATTTGACAGCCACCTACGCCCATACCACTGCTAACCTACCCCCAAATACCAGCCAACCATGGTGGAAGCTCAGGACCAGACCAGAATGTTTTTAACATTTTGAAACATTTGCCAAACAGTAGCCAACCTGGCCTAACACCAACCAACCACAGCAGTCCTTGCTCCCAACAGCACATCAGCAGAACGTACTGCACCTGCACGAAACCCATAATGTATTGTACATAGCACTTCGGCAGAATGTCTCATATAAGGTCGTATTTGTGCATATAAGGTTGACACTGTGTCTGTAGTTTCCAAATGTTACATCGGAAAAGATATGCTCTGCAAGAGGCAAAATTTCAATACAACGTTGACCAAAACTCCAAAGAAAACCATGAAAACTGGGGTTTTTGCACAGGTGCTGTATGTTCTGTCGGCGTGCTGCTTCTTCTAACCATGGTTTGGGGGAGTTTGGCAGTGTTCGGGAGGCCATATTTGGGACTTTAATCATATGTATTCAATGAAAATCTTGACTGATTGAAGAGTGCTGCTGCAGTAGAGTATCTTACCCTGTCTGCTGCACAGTTGGCCATGACCATGTCTGTGACTTTGTTCTCAAACTGAGCATCCATCAGCCTGTCAGCCGCCTCTTTCAGGGCCACAGTCAGCGCCACACTACGACCCTGTCTCAACATCCAATCAGCTGACGGATCATGGTCTGTGGATATATTATAATTATGACAATTCATACGTTGTTCAATCACATGCAAGAATTGTGGAAAATTTCTTGTCTTCAGGTTAATCAATTTAGAATTCATACAAAGTGTAAATTCATTCTGTACTTCTGATAAGAATATGAAATTTACACTTAAGATTCTTAGCAATTTCTTAGCACTTTGCTTATATGGTATGCAAAATAAAAGTTTAAGAATTAAATGCTTCAAGTTAGTAATTCATCTTTCAAAAGTTGCTGTAACAGTTTTATTTCATTCTTATAGTTTTACTTTAATCAACTGTATCCTTCTAAAGTTACTTCTGCTGCAAAATGGACTGTTCCAAATTCACTATTGGCTTATAGAATATAAGTACTGGTCATTTCCAATTTGGATTGCAGAAGCTCAAGACACATTGACAATTGCATATTATGTTTGACTGAAAATCGTGAAATTGAAAGTTGCAGCTTAGTACCCCCAGCCTTACCGAGTATATGGTCCAGCATGATGGTGTTGAGTTCAGAGTCTGGTACTACTGCACACAAGGCTCCCACACAGCCAGCAGTGGCCAGCCGACTACCATCCTGTACAACATCACAGGGTCAAGTCTAACTGAGTCATCACTGGTTATAGTGTACACATAACAGGACTCTAGCCATGTTTAAAGTTAAAACTTTTGGTCCAACACAAAAAATTCTCTCACCTAGAGCTTTTGACCAGTCACTCTGGTCTTTCTCAGTAGACTGACCCAGTGAAGCTTGTCACGTGGCTTCTTTGAAGTGTGACGTCAACACTGGGTCAAAGGTATCTGGTAGACGTCACACTTCAAA